GGGGAACCGAGTTTACCCATTCTCTACTACAGCAGAGACTTCTTACTGAATTGGCAGTCAATCATGAAAATCAGAAAGGGCTTAAGCGAACTATTTGCTTCGAGTGATATCTCAAAGGCGGAAGAGATTGGAAGGATTCCTTGTTGCGCATAGAGACGAACAGAAATAATAGCCCTGCCTAGGAAGATATTTGAACTCCGAGATGGGATTGGAAGGGAGGCCAAAAAGTTGGGTGCTCGACAACTTCAATCTCATCAGATGAAATGGAAATTGAATGATGAGGGACTCAAAAGTAGCCCTGTCACCACGTCTAAAGGTTCACGCAAGTAGCGTGTTCCAGGAAAACGTCACTTCAATCAAACTTATTTGGAAAAAAATAAACTAAGGGAAAATGTGAACCACTTTCGGAAAGCAAAATAACCGCGCTGTGTCGAGTTAAAGAAGTGATTTTGAAGGAGTTCAAAATGAATAAACATTTCCCGAGAAATTTGTATTTAATTGTCTACAACAAAACTCCTCAACCAGTTTAACAGCATGACGAGATTCCATACATGCTTAAATATGAAAATTAACCATGTGAGCTCTTCAAGTGTCTCAGTTTAAACTTTCATGATGAATCTGCCTTCAAGGGACTGCGGTTTGTAACAAAATTAGGGGGAAGGAAGGAGAGGAGTGAAAGTCGAGATTTTATGAACTCAAGGGAACAAAGAATAGAGCAAGTTGCACTATGGAGGGAACAAACTTTTATTTTACTAATTGGAGTTTACCTAAGACTTCAACAAAAAAGAAGTTCCGGCTATTTTAATAAACAAACAAATGGCTGCCTTACAAGTGTGGAATGTGATTTGAAAGTTCGCTCCCGCACTCAAGACTGTTAAGGCAAAAAAACAGTGGTGCCTCCGTGTCCGATTCAAGAAGGAACTCCAATTTAGCTGTTTGTCAAGCGATTACTGAAACAGGTTGACTTGACCATCGCCTAGAGCGTGTACAGTTCCAATCCTGATTAAAAATGTCTACAGAATGTCTACCGCTCTAAAATGGTTGAGATGGTGAAAAGTTATAGCAAAAATAAATCAGAGTGAAAGAAGAAATGTGTAATCCAAGTCTAGAGAATTAAAAGTAGAAATAGTTACACGTAAAAGAACATAAAACCACCAAAACAGACTCCAGACCCACCGTTTTCGTCGAAGAGGGTGAACACCACATCCACAAGATGGGGTGTCAACTGGACGTGAGCAACCACTTTCGAGACATGAAGGAAGGTGGTCGGGTCGATGGCAGCCCCAGCCAGGGTGTGAAAGGTGAGCGCAGTGTCCAACTCTGACACGCAACGCAGAAGGTGAGTAAAATCGAGGAATTCTTGAAATGTGATACCCTATAGAGAATGCGATAACAAAACAGAAATACTCGAGGGAGAAATAAGGAGCGAGCAACTGATTTACTCATAACTCCTTTCTCTCATGACTTCAAATGTTGTTATTTGCATTATACATCCGCGTTACTGCTCATTCATCCCTTCGAACAGGCATTCTTGGACTCCGCCAGGCACCACACAGGCAATTCGAAACCCCCACCAAAAGCTCTTTCAACCATACCTTCACACGTTCACGAATCCTTCAATCCTTCGGAAGTTCGTCCTATCTATTTATCCGTTTGCCAACCAAAGTAACTATACCAAATCCATTTGTCCGTCCATCCTTCATTCAACCCTCGCTGTAACCACCCGTCCACTAAGCTATAGGTCATTAAACGGATGTGAACCGCTATTTCTGAGAAGTTGTAAATTCAAGTGAAGTTGATCCCTAATGGAACATGCCTAAAAAGGAGCGCCTAACACATTGCATAAATTAATCATTTTATCATTATGTCTTGAGGTACCTGGTGCCTTCCGAGGAATTGGTAAAAAAGACAACTCTTTCGTCACTATTCTGAGAGCAAAGGTCACTTAAGCAACAACGAAACTCACAACGGAGTTTTCATCATCATCCTCAGGGAACTTCTTTTTCACTCGTCGCAACATTAGACGTCGCTTATTCTCCGAGAACCCTGCATAAGTAAGCAAAGATTTGGCAAAAGCCTGTTCCGTAATTCGTCCCTCTTTGGGCCCGTAACGTTCGAACTAGACGAAATCAAAAAAAGAAAGCGCATGGAGGTAACCACTTGATACTCAAATGGTGGAGGCTATCGCATGAAGAACACTGCGCAAATGACAGATAAAGATCAGTGGGTATGGAAGCAGCTGGAACGCTGAGAAGTGCAGAGATGACATAGAGAGATTAGTGAAGTTTGATTCCATCAAATGTTTACTTTGAGAATTTACATCTTTGACACCAGACAAAGTGCAAGTTGAAATGTCAATAAGTGCGGTAATGGAGTTACTGATTGGAAGTCCAACTTTAAACACAATCAACTCAATATCGCTTGCTAAATTCACGAAGAGATCACGTCAATCAAGCATTGGACTCACCTCCAACTGAGTAATCTCCTCTTGAAGTCGGGATTGGAACTCCAAGAACTTGGAAATCTTCAACTTCTGCTTTCCATCAGATCCGAAAAAGTAATCGTGTAGGGCGCTATGGCTCACCGATTTCAGAGTGCTGCCCGTTGTAGAGTGATCTCGATGTCGGCGACCCATAGCTGTAGTGTCGAGAATAACACCTCGAACCTGGCAAATCAAAAGAACATGTAAGAATAGGCGACATTCGCCATTTGACTGTAGAGTCAAAAATGTGAATGTGAAGAAATGAAAATCCGCTGCTTTTAGGACTTGGGCCCTAGTTTGGCTCCATGGCAGAGATGAAGGAGAGGGGTAGAAAATCGGTTCTGGTTATCCTCATTCTAGCGTCGGTGTACTGCTTCCCCAACTCTCCTTTTAGGCTGCGGAAGCAAAGTCAAGTTACTTGCCCTTATTAGAACTAAGTATGAATTACTGATTCCGGTATTTTACGCCACAACGGAAATGGTGTTTCGACTCACCACTTTTCGTTCAGTCTTATTCATTTTCATTGGAGAGGGTGATGAGTAATTCAAATAACGTGGCGAACCAAATATTGTGCAAACAGTGGAAATAACAGCGTTCCACAATATTTTGGACAGTTGCATGACAGAAGTATGTAGTAATCACATTTCTACCTAAAGACTTCTTTCTCTGCCCTCTGAACAGTCAATAAGGCAAACAGTTCCTTCGGTATGTATCACGCATTGAGGTAACGCCCTCCACCTCCCACAAAGCCAGCCTTAGGGCGAAAGCGGAGAGCAGCGGCTCTTCAATCGACTGCATTCAGAATCATGAGAAAAGAAGGAAACAAGTCGAGCTAGTAAAAGTCAACCCTGTCAAAGTCTCGCAGGTCTCCATGCGACCACCTTAGCGACTAGTAACTGAGGTATATGAGAACGAATAAGAAAACTCCGCACAGTAAATACCGATAGACATTCAAAGAAAGGTATCAAAACATACAAAGAGACGATTTTTCCATAAGGCCTAGGTAGCTCCGTTTCCATCTCAGTCCCATCTGTCACCCGTCTATTCCAATTTGCCCGCCAATATATAATCCGCCAGAGACTTGGAAAGATTATGAACACATCGGGAAACCACGTGTAATGACACGGAGATTTGAAATGTGGGTAGAGTTTAAACGGAAGTTAAGTCTTCTTATAGGTTGGTTTTGCTCGTGGATATTTTGTTGCACAGCGTCTAAGAAAACCGCGCGGGCCAGTCAATGTTAAGTGTAACTAACCTTTCAGGGTATGAGGTTATGTCCATTATCATCTGTCAAGGCTTAGTTCTCACTACTTTTCTGCATTTACATCCAGCGTTCAAGATAACCATAAATGCAATGATCATGAATCAACGTTCCGTTGAACCAATCTGCTCTTCACAGTTAGGAATAGAGAAGTGGCACCTTCGTAAAGCATCTATTGCTAAAAACGTTTTAGGTCTCCTAGAATTGACAACTGACAGAAAAGTGTTGAAAATTCGGGACCAAATAAATAAGGTCGAATCACATCATCTTACCACATCGAATTCACTGGCCTCTAATTCACCGTCTCCATTGATATCAAACATGCGGAAGGCGATTTCAAATTGTCGCTGCGGCGCTGAAAGGTTAAACAACGTTGAATAGCCATGTTTGGAAGAAATAGGGCTCCAGGCGGACAGGAAAGCAGAAAAATGAACACACAAATGGAAGAACAGATAGGAGCTACATACTGGATATCACAGTCAGGAGAAAAACGAAGTCGGTGAAAGAAATTAGAGCGTTATTGCCGAAGCAGTAGAAGATTGAGTCCTTCGGAATGTTCAGGTCCAATTTGTCTTTCTTTAAGGGAGAAAAATATCCATTGGTGTTCAAATGTTTGCACCATTTTCACAGGAAAAACAGGTGGAATCGACTACGAAAAGCATATGAAACAGATCGTTTCTCTCGATTCCAAATGAGCTTACATCACGAAAGCTAATAATTGCAGTGCCGGAAAGAAATTGCCTACGAAATTTTGTACGGCCATTACCACAAAATTCCCAACTACCATCTCTGATTCAAGCAGGCTTTAAGCCGTCATGAAACACACACATCAATGCACAATTTGTCATAAAATTACACAAGAGACGAATCATTCAATAAAAGCAGGTAGGAATTGGCACCAGGCCAAACCTCCGCACTTGCTTAGCAGAAATGGGACAGTAATTAGAAAAAACATGTATCGAGGCCTTCTAAACACAGCTTTGGTACTGGATTGAGCGTGTGACCGTGGCGATCCTTATAAATTTAAAAGCCTTAATTGCTAAAACAGTCACTCGAAAATGACTTTAAACGTTTTTCAATTGCAGAATTGAGTTTTAAAAACAAAACATCAGTGGATTTTAGCATTGTTATGGGTGATCAATGCATCAAGCGGTGGAATGAAATGGAATCCAAGGGCTGTCAAGGTCCTCACTGCTTCAGCCATCATACATGTTAGAGTCGCTGTAACAGCTGATTGACCGACCTATAAAGCCTCTTTAGCTCGTTCGTTAAGCCGAATGACATCTCTGGCTATCTTCAGGTATTGTACCCCCAACTACTCCCCCTCCCACTAACAAGCCTGTGTTTACTTTGTGACTAATGAAGTATAGGCGCGACCGCGCACTATGGATTCTGCAGTTAAAACTCGAGAAGTGATTAGAACTGAAAGCTGCCTCCTCAATACGGTTCGAAACGATACAGTCGAAACTGTGCAAGAAAAACTCTGGGAATGGGTACTGATCCACTGATGTCGTAAAATAATTGGCTTTTCTTGGCAAGGACGGACGCAGGACCTCCAATCCACAAGGGTAGGATTTCAAACGAACGCATGTAAAACACATTCAAACAGTTTCCCCTTTTACCAATCATACCAAAAATGTAGTTACATCTATCAGACCTTCCGTAGTGCATCAAAATACCGACGACATTAATACTAACAATCAGACCGTTGGGTGTTTCGCCTCCAGACCGTTGGCAAAATCTATGGTCCATATCTGTTGTTGGACGAAAGAACTTTTCTGTCGTACTTTGACGTGGTACCAAGCATCGCAATTAACTCCTCCAGTAAGCTTTCCAAGTCTTACACTCATACTGTTCAGCGGTACAAACGGTCATTCCCCTTTAAGACGCCAGTCTTGTCTACACTGTTGAATAAGGTGTTCGCGGAAACGGATACACCCACTTGAAGAACAGTTGTTTCCAGAGTTAGCTTTCTAAAAAGGTATTTTTGGTATTCAAGCGAATCCCACGTTATTTTTAGCGTTAGAGAAGACTATGTTAAATATTCACCACCTATCGCAAATCAGGTTCAGATAATCATTACTAAACCAAATGCATTAAAGGTTTCATATCATTTAACCTCACCTTAGGATCAAATTTAATGAAAGCATCGAGATCCAATCCATCAGGCTGTTTGAGACCGGGTGTGATGGCACGAAGAAAGTCGTCTGGAGTCATGAAGACCTCTGAAGTGCCATCTTCATATACGCACTTCAACGTAGCAAAGTAGCGGAAGATCTTGTCTGGAGTAGAGTAGGCCCGAATGCGATCCTCATATGCAATGAACTGCGAACAATAGGCGATGGAAACTTTTGGCAGTAAGGGTATATACTGGCAAATGGTGGGGTCTACTTCGTGGATTGGACCTACGAACGGTGTAAACGCAACCATTAACGACTTCAAGCACGCACAATTCAATCACATAGCTTACCATTCCTACAGAGCATACTGCCCAACGTTTTTAAAAACTTGAAGTGAGATCACCAGTATATTTAATGCCGTCACAATGTTTAAACACCAGACCCTGTTAATCCTAAATTACTAACAGGAAGAATAAACGCACACCAAAATTGAATGTTTAGACCACCCCACAATTAATTGTGGTGAATGTAATGCAAAGTGGGTATACATGTTGCCAGTCTTATACGAGGTATTCATTTCGAGCCATCGCAAAAAACAATTGTGATGCAAAAGAAGGAAGATAATAAGTCTATGTGGAAAAATCGACAATTTCTATAAAAGACAAGGCCCGAGCAAATGTTCAAGAAAGCAGAAGAATCTGCAACAAGCCATAAGAAAAATGTCCGCGAACCTTTCTTGTGCGAAAAGTATTCTTTACTTTCGGCTTTTGATCATTTTCTTCCACATCATCTTCAATTTTTTTCTTCGAATGGAACTCCGTTTGACAGTCAACCTTAGTTGGCGTAGATTTATTCTTCTTCCCTTGAGTCCATTCATCCAATTTCGTTTCTAACCACTCTACACTAGATTTTGCTGTTCATCCTTCGCTAAATCTACAACATACCCGCCAAAGTAGGTGAAACAGATCCCACCAACAATGAACAAACCGCAGAACATGCTTCCTTTGCCAATGTTTCTCGGATAAGCTTCTGAAAAATGAGTGTATCGATTTCGATACGATTCAGTGCGTCGAATAAATATTTGTGGAGTTGATACTACGGGATATACGATAGGGAACAACGAGGATCTTGACGACTGTCTGGTTATAAAGGATCTTAACCCTCTCAGCATTATAATTCCAAGGCCAAGGTAAATTTACAGTAGTGATCAAAACCACAGGTATGGCAAAACTTTCCGCCTCCCAATCTTCAACGGACTAAACAATGACACCCCAACGCAGGAGTTAATTGCCACAAAAATGGCATTCAAGGTCGTAACAGTAACCATGAATTTAACAAAACGATTAATAATTAAGCGGATTGCCTAACGCGATTGTATATTGTTATTTGATTTTTATAGCTACTTTAGGCTTAAAATTTTATTTTAGATGCTTTTAATATTTAATCTAGTTTGAAGATCCCAAATACATGAGATCTTCCACGGCATTTTGAGACTTCCCTTTGGCACTAAAATGCCACTGTAGCGTTCCAAGGCTCCCCATAGGGTGGCAGAAGGCATAAGTGAGGTTGAATACATGTATTCCGAAGATGACAGGGCCGACGGGGCCCGAGCGTGGCCTGAAGGCCGGCCCCTGCGTACAGAGGCCAGACAAACTCTGAAGTGACCGCCAAACGTCAGGTAGTCACATAAACACATCACTAGAAAGCAGAACAGAGAGGCTACGGTCTGAACTGAAGACCCGTTAAAGAGCAAATCGAGACAACCGCTAAAGTTAGCACCGTAAATTCAGGTAATTAGATAAACAAAATTTTGTATTTAAGCAGTAAGCACAGCACTGGAAAGTTAAAATCGCTACTCATTCCAGCATGGAATGACTTTAACTGTTTCACAGCAGCCTTTAATGAAAAAACACTTGGTTCCTCTAAAGGTGATTTGGAAACAGAGCTAGATTATCAAGTGTGCATTGCCATTCAAGTTTCCCTAAGTACCAAAAATATGCCAGCATTTAATTTGCAGTGACCTGAACCTGCGCATCAAGCTGTAGGAGGCATCCAACTTAACTGAGTACCTGCATTTCGACTGAATGGAATGATGCAGAGTCTTTCCAAGGCTCGACGATCAATCCACCCAGAAGAAAAAATAGCCTTATTGGCAGTCAAATTAACAGTTCCACACCATCCAGCTCTTCTTCCGAAGGGCCTCTCCAGCGCTTCCCATATGACGTTTGGTGATCACTTTAGGTCCTTGTAAACGTGGGCTGGTCTTTGAGCCATGCCCAGGCCCATTTGCGCTGTCGTCTTCGGAATACAGATACTAATTTCTTATATCGGCTAGGAAGTCTCGGGATGCTACGACACTCACAATCTAGTCCCACCAACCGTCCACGTCTACTTCATTAAGGGAATGCACTTGAACACCTCGGCGACCTCAAATGACTCAGCAATTTGGCTCAGTCTGGAAACAGGAATCAGGTAATGGAAACTCTGTTGACCAAAGGCTTGGCATAAGCTGTGGAAATCTGAATTGGAACGGGAACATAATGAGTTTCGCCTTTTGCCGCTATCAATGTGACGTGCGAAGACATTCCATCAGGTTATAAAAGTATGACGATTCGGTCGAAGTCTTGAATTGGCAGAAGTGGGGCTTTAGTATGACCTGAAGGCCACCTCACCAAAGAGGCTTACACACACCGACACAATCGAATATGCAGAGTTACATCCTCAATTGTGCCTTTTGAATTTCCATTATCAGCTTTATTTTATTTCTTAATGATGGTTTCTACAATCTGAGTAAATGAAGGCATAGTACTTTGACAGAATGCTCATATTTCGGCTATAGAGAAGGAGAGTTGGCTTTTAGCATGGTTTAAGCTATCATACTGGCATTAGACAACGTTTTACTAATTTAGTCGCCAATGGTTCGGCTGTCAAACAGTGTTAACTCAGCATCATTTTCATTGCACATGTTTCGGAGGTATCATAGAGTGCCGTCATAGCTGGCACTTCAGGCTCATTGCAGAAGCAGCTTCCATGGAGTAACGTTGCCATCCTGCGCATTATAACTATTGTCAAATCATTGCTAGCCTCTATAATGCATTGGTTCCAACCCGCCTGCACGACATTTGCAATACATAATGAACTTTGGATACTAGTGTCGTGACCCCAGTCAGAACTTTTCAATAGCCCTCTTCGTAGGAAGCAAAATCTCTTAAGGAACGTGGCTTAAAGGTGCTCCGCAGTGGCTACTGTAATCTATACTAGTTTGTTTAAGTGTACTTTGGTAGGTGAGAGGCAGGAACCGCCTGGGAACGCGAATCACCTGCGTAAAGCCGGCAAGAAGTCTCCCTCCAATTGATATCTCCTACTCGCCTCATCTGCATCCTTCCTAATTACAAATGCCCAATAAATCATCCGCACCCAACTGTCTTTTGAAGTCTGAGGTTCAGGGACCAGAGGGTTGACAAGCAGCTCTTACAGCTACACTGTGTTCCATAACTATAACGGAACTACAACGGTTTACTACGTCTTTAAGAGACGTGTGTAGATACCAAAGATTGGAAATTGTCAAAACGCTATCCACAATCGCATTCTTCCGTGGCAATTTCGTTTTACCGATAACAGCTAATCTTGGCAAGATGGCCATGCAATTAGGTCATTTCGCACCACCACAGTACCCGAAACCTCTTTGAAGGCCAATTAAAGGGGAACAACAAATATGGGCAATGCTTCAGTGAAGCTAGAGTGCAGTTGGTCAAGTCTGGGTTCTATGCCTCATGAGGGTCGTCCCTAATGCAGTTAGCGCTTCCATTATAGTTTGTGCAAAGGAAACAGCATTTAGCTTGTCGCATCACCTACTCTACCTTGCAAGGACTTTGCCCTTGTCCACATGAGAATTTTTGTCCTCTTAAGGTCACTATCAGCCGCCATCTTCAAAACGGGCTAAACTTCAACAACCTATTTACAGTGGGCCTTTACAATCCCATCCTGAATTCTGTGGCACTAAGATGTGGTACTTTGGGTGGTAATATGTTTAGATTGAACTCGCAATGGTCCTGCCACCAGTAAAAGAATTTGGGTTTGCACTGAAGTCATGGCACACCATTAATTAGCACCTAGAGGGCCTCGTAAGGCCTTAGTCACTCCCAATAGCCCTTGTAAACAACCTTGGCGATTAAATAGACGGCGTATCTTAAACAATGAATATCTCCTTTAGCACTCTTATACAACTTCAACTGGATTTCGAGCTGAGTTTTACCTGTACCAGTGCCTCCAGTGCTAAGATTACTCGCATGCGCCGGAACGAAAATTGCTGCCACATTATTATCTCGGTTAAACAATTCCAAATTTGTTTGTTGGACCAAAGTGGGTGCCATTGGGGATTGAAAACACGAAGTTAACTCTTTAGAGGACGTTGTGCTGTGCTCTATCACATCAAACCTAAGCCCAAATGCACTGCAATGCATCAGAAGCCCGAAATGATGAATCACATACCCTCCCCAACTCCATGAAAACCTCATGCCTATCGTGGAGAGAAAGGGAGCAAAGTGACCAAAGGGAAGTCCAGACAGTGACGTTTGAATCAACAGAACATGCTTGTGTCTGAAAGCCTTCTGACATAGTATATTCAACCCTTCGGGCTCCTCAGCGTGCAGAAAGTCTGAGATTGGTCACGGGATTGCCGTAGCCTCTCACTGCCTTGTCACGAGTTCCAATTTTAAACACTTAAACAGGCTTACAGCTCAAGGCCTCATCCTGCAAGGCCCTTTGTGCTCTTTCGTGCAGTAGACTGCAATATTTCACTACATTTTATGTAAACTACGTTCATCCAAAAAAAGACGGCAAAAGTAGACTGAACAAAATGTGCGTGTTTTGTTTACCCACTGAGCCATCATGTTGTAATTTGATATCTGGATAATTTCCCGATGCAGTAAGCGAAAAGCTTTCATTAAAATCATCGTTATCCTATGTTGGTGAATGCATCTTTTCCACGAAAAGTAGCCCATCTCTCAATCGCCCTCCTGCAGAAGGAAGGTGCGCGAGACGAGGGAAACGAGAGAAATTATACAAAAGTGATTCACCCAGCCACACATCAGGTCAGGGGTGATCTGGTTGCCAACTCACTCATTCACCTGGAACACAAATTGCGCCCCATTTCGGGATGCAAGCAATTGGAGGTCTAATTTCCTTAACTTTAAGGTCAGAATTTGCATTTGCTAAGGCCGAGGGCTGGCAAATGCGCCGATTACTAAAACTGGGATCACATGATGCCCCACTGTCAACGGGAAACTGGCACCTGACAAGTGCCGCAGACACTGAGCCAAATCGCCCTTTGTTCGTCAGGGCACCCAATTCCTATGTAACACATATTGGTCGTTTAAATTGTTCATTGTAGAAAGAAAGCACGATTTCAATTCGAATGCGGCTCAAATAAAGTGCGAGGATCCTTCTTAGTACTGGCTAGTATATCATTCCTGTACCTACATAGCAATCCCCAGGAGACTAAGATTAAGGCCAAAGGGAATGGAGAGGAGAGTGCTCCACTTAGATAGCTCAGCCTTTATGGTCATTTGAGTTTTTGCAGTTGGAGAAGTCGTTGTTCAATTGGCAATTTGATGCAGCTTAATCTAATTTGTGTTTGAAAAAAATCTTAAATAAATAAATGACAAATTTTCACACCATAGATACAGCAAATTTCACAAAGCTATCTCTACCTCCTATTAAAAGCGAACTAAATTTTTTTAGGACCCAACACTTAATTATTCACTCATTAATGGAGACATCGGCTATTTCGTTTGAGGTCCATTAACAAATTACAGGAGGTAAGCCTTTTATGCTTGTCGCATAAAAACCTCTTTTTTGTTCGTAAAATATCTCAGTATCAGCAACAAGACTAAACTTGGGTCCTTTTGTTTCACTCAAGAAACACAAATGCCAATAGGATAAAAGCAACCAAAAATGTGAGATTGTCGTTTCTGTCAGAAATAAGGCATAGACTTTGTCCGCATTGGGTTAAAAATATTAGTGGAGTAGCTTCACACCACTACATCTGATTGGATGGTCCAAGGTCAAAGATAATTGCGTAGTGGGTCAATCACTATGCCTGCATGCATATATACGTGCGTGCGTGCGTGCGTGCGTACATGCATGCGTGCGTAGGTGCGTGTGCGTGTACGTGTGTGTACATACGAATTGCGCGCCACGCTACAACCTCGTGGACACGGTCAATAAGACCTTGAACGCGCAAATGCACACACGCACGCAAACACACCCTCCCGGGCTAAGGTACAGAAATGAAAAACCCGATCGATGATGGTAGGCTTGGCAACTGTGTTCTTGCGCTGATAGGCACGTGCGCACTGAAAACACACAAGACCAAGGTCATTTGGTCCCTGCTGATTGGCGTTTTCCTCGTCGCCTGGAGAGCTCGTCAGTCTGTCTGCTTTTTCGGGAAAGACGAGGTTAGAAGGGGGGATGCGAGTGAGATGGTGCATAGAGGAGTGGTAAAAATGAAAAACTTGAGGGAAGTTCCAGCAACCACCCTATAGAACGGCAAGTTGGGTTTCCACCCTTTTCTACCACGTCAAATGAACCATACTCGATTCCATTACGATTTTGTGGATACGATGACAGGCCAATCATGTTAAAGGTCCATAAATGGTATGGTCAGAAGGCACAGTCACAGTTGCACCTAAACAGTAAATGTAAACCTCAAATGTCCCTTCGTTTTAGTCGGCTTTAACGCACTTCTTTTGTTGATTTCACGATCATGCTTAAAGCATGCTAAAATTATTAATTTTTTAGGCTTGCAGACAGCCAATATGTTTAACCAGGAAGCATCTGGTATCCTTTAGCACAACATCACCGAGTCGTTTTGCCTAGCTTTAGTGTCCTCCACCTTAAGTTTATCAAATCAAGGTGACCACTTTTTAGGTAAATGTGAAGGGAGAAAAGTAAAGAAGGAGAAGGAACGATTTTTAGGTGTCTATCAGCTGTAAACAGGTATTGCTGTTAAGCTCAAAGTACGGCCATTGTTTTATTTTTGTGTCCCATCAATTCGAAAATACCCTAACGGCTACGGCATCTTGGATTTTTGACTAACAAGCGCTAGCCAATGCACGCAAACCCCATCACCCCCTTCCTTATGCTGTTAGGTGTTCTCGCGCGTGGACGCACATGCACACACGCACACGCAGCTTTCCCACCACCATAGCCGTTCGAAAGCAGTCGACGTTGCGCCCACCATTCAGCTCTCGGCTAAGCTGCAGTGGAAGCAATAGAAGAAGCAGCAACTGCAGCAGCAATACACGCCGTGTGTGGTGTGTGTGTAGCGCTCGCAGGTGCGTCCGTGTAAGTGTGCGTACACGCGCGAGTTTGGACGATTCCCGTTGGTAGCGAACGCGGCCTTCCCCTTTCCCAACCACCAGCCAGCTTGCCTACCCGCTGGCTTGCCTGCCTACCTACCTAACTACCTACTTACTTCCCTATCTCCATATAGCAGTTGCGAAGACTCCCCATCCTCTGCTGCTGCTAGGCTTGTGGTAAGATTCGACAGACGTCTATGCGACCGTTTTCCCTTTCCTGCAGTTTCTTTTTGTAGAATCTACTGATACCGCATCCGTGCGCCCTCCTCATCGCCCAGGTAAAATGACAGGAGCTGTATTCATTTTCAAGTCAGTAGTATGCCCTACCCATCTGTGATGCATCGCCCAGAATAAGGAAAGACTTCAGAAATCATAGGGCCAAATAACGTAAACCTTTGTGGCTTTGTAAAAAGACATGTTCAGAAGAGTGAGAGAGGCGCTCCCTTCCCGTGACTGACTTACTTGTCTGCTTTGACATCGATCCGTCACACCGGGCGGTCGATAGTTCTGTCAGTCTGCTGAATTTGGTGCTTTCAGCTGACAATCACAGATTCGAGCTAACGCTCCCCACTACTTTACTTGTAGCATTCGCATTTGAACCCGAAGGCGTGAACAGCTAGACTAGGCTCCAGTAATGTACATAGAGGTTTCAGTAGCGGTCAATTATCTTCTATCCCATCTCTACACAAAGTTACCACGGAGAAGGGTGGACAATTTCGGTGAGGAATTGGAAAGATGCCTCTTGCGTAAATTACAACCTCACTGGTTTACTGATGCATCCAGTCAAGATGCAGCTCATCGGTGCTTTCAAACCAGCGGTCCACATACTGACTTCATCTTTCCTGAAGCCGCCATCTCCAGTGGATTGGAGTGGAGTGAAATTCAGGCCTGTCTGCCGGCCGGTTTGGTTATCACAATTGATCCGGGTCATGTCGCTTGCCAGTACGGATCTAGTGAGTCCTCTCCAGTCATCTCCAACTCAGCTTGGAGTGCCGGGAATGGCTGCAATTCTACCAGTCTCTCGTCTTCCGGATGTTCATCGGCTTCGTCGGTCTCTTCATCAAACGGTTCTTCAGGATCATGGTCAAAAACCAAACACCAGATCCTCTACTCAGCCAATTCTAGGAGCGGGAACGGCTATACTATGGGTGGAGAAAAAGAGTTAGACGTGGCATCAAATGAGGCCTCAAAGAAGCAGCTGGATGATGTTCAAACCCACTTGGCTACAGAAGCAGCTCTCAGCGTTTTAACTGAACCAGAAGATGTTGTCGCATCCCAGAATGGATCCGACCATTCAAAGACTAGAATAAGCAATGAATCTATCACTGGTGTAGCAGATACTCACGACTATCAGGATATAGCAGCAAACTCTGTTACTCGAGGCAAGAACGCTTCCACAGATCCTACAATTGATGGTAGCTTTCTGGACCACAGCATTAGCACAGAGTCACAAGCAAAATCCGATGTTGAAAATCAATTTCCATTCAATGATTTTCATGCCAAACCTCTACGACATGTCGACGAGGTGGGCGAATTGCAACAATTCGACTTTCACACCAATCAGCACAACCCACCTCCATTAACTCAACCCCCTACAACCTTCATTCAGAAGTCCACGTCGACACCGAGTTTTACTGCAGCAACATTTGCAGCCACAAAATTCGGTTCTACAAAGTTAAAGAACCAGGCAAAGCGGCCTCATCGCCTTGTGTCCCCCTGTGATCCGCCCGTCTTAGGTTATGCCTCACAGCTGCTGGAAGCCATCGGACAAAATTCTCTCCAACCCAATCAGGTTGGTGCCATTTTGATGCATTCACAACTTCGTCAAGTGCAGCCTATTGACGTACCTGCCGTTGATTTGCATGTCAGACACAAAATTGTCACCTAATGCAGTAGTTAGGTATCGTGCAAGGAGGTAGGCGAACTAAAAAATTAGCTGTTTAGCATAGTTGCTTCTCCAAACGCTGATCAAAAGTCTTTTCGATTGAAGGTGGAGAGAATCAGCCAAACAAGCTTTGCACTCTCCATTGCATTTTTACATGTCACCTTCATGAATTTTCCACCATGAGCATCTTGCCAGTAGAAGCACAGTAAGGAAGTGACTTAGTATCAGTGGGCTGTAAATCAGCAATTAAAAAGTCGAATGCCACATCAGACCATGCAAGGAGGAGGAGGAGGGCCTCGCGGCACTCATTGAAAGTTGGCGGTTGTGGAGTACTGCACAGAATGCAGGAGAATCCGTGATGACTGTGTTAAAACAATCTTTTCTAGGTGTCCCTTTCGTTTTAAACCTCAAAATATGTCGTCTTTCTGTTTTAAAATGTTTTACAACTTACCACTTTTAAACAAATATTGTGTCGAGATAAATTTAAACGGATAAGTGAAAGGCGCACTTTGTGAATTTTGTGAAGAAACCAAAGTAAGGTATGCAAATCAAATTAA